CTGCAGGTACCTGGTTGATCTCGTCCTGCGTGGATGCCAGGGACTTGAGGATGGTCTCCAGCTGGGCGCGCCCCGCCTGGATGCTCTGCTCCAGCTGCGCCTCCTCCTGCTGCAGGCGGCCCAGCTCTGCCTTGGCCCGGTTCAGGTCATCCTCCTGAGACCGCAGGTCTGACTCCTGCGACTGGATCTGCATCTTCAGCGAGGAAATCTGAAAGGAGATCACAGGGGTCCGTGTGTGAGAGGTGACTCGGGGGAAGAAATCTTGTTCCGAGTGATTAACACTAGTGGCTCTGGAAGGAGCAGGACTTGACCTGGGACCCAGACAGCCATCTACTGTCATCCAGGGGGGCAGGATGTGATGCAGTGAACCTTGAAGACTTTAAAGTTCACGGACACCGCAGTCCCATGGTTCCTCGTGAGCCCTGCAGCTGTAGCAGATGGGTGCAAGTTATCCAGACCCTCCACAGGTGGGGTACAAGCCAGCAGTGGCCCAGGGTGGTGGGGTCGGGGCACAGGCAGGGTAGGGGACTGAGGTTAGGCCATAAAACACTTTGATGTTCTTCCAAGTGATATTTGAAGTAAGTATGTCGAAGCTAGAAGGCGCCCTGGTGCTGCAGTGGTTATACATTGGGCCGCTAATTGCAAGGTAAGCAGTTCAAAACCATCAGCCGCTCCCTCCTTAGGAGAAAGATGGGGCCGTTCTACTGCCATAAAGAGTTAGTCTTGGAAACTCACAGGGGCAGCTCTACACTGTCCTACAGGCTCGTTAAGAGTCAGCACCAACTTGATGGCAGTGAGTTTGGTTTGATTGAAGCTCGCCATACCACTAATGTGTCGTGTGATGGGCTACGGGAGCTTTTGTGTTCCCATGACACTGGTATTCCAAAAACCAGCAGGTCACACACAGCGGAGCTTCTAGATGCCAAGACTAGAGAGAAAGGCCTGGTGAGCTACTTCTAAACCCTGCCTGCCAACGAAGCCGGTCAGACAGGTTGCCGGAAGAAGAGGCTGGTTGTTGTTGCCGGTAGGTGCCATCGAGTCAGTTCCGACCCACAGTGACCCCACATGCACAGAACTAAACACTGCCCGGTCCTGTGCCATGCTCACAAGTGTTCCTAAGTGTGAGCACATTGTCGGCGGCTGGGAAGTCCTCCAAGTACACAGTAGCCGCACCCTTGGACTTCAGCACGCCAGTGATCGAGAGGCTGGCACCGGCACCGCTTTGTTCTCTGGTACACAGGGGTCACCAAGAGTCGGAGCTGACGGCCACAAATGTGCACCAGCCGAGGGTCGGCTGCAGTCCCTCTACCCCCAGACTCCACAATGTACCTCCTTAAAACAAGGACCATCGCAAGGGGAGCAAACTTACAAAGCTTACACGCTACTGTTACCTCACACATCGTCCAGAGTCAAGTGTCCCCCAGATGTCCTTTACCCCAGTTCTTTCCCTCGGACCGAATATCCAGCGGCCGCCATGCAGGGGCCGCAGCCACAACTCGCCTGAGCCAGGGAAGGGCAGGTGACACCGGATGGGTGGCGGCATCTCAGGCTGCTGCACACTGGGTCGCCCTGAGCGACCAGCCACCAGCAGCACAGACACATTGAGCTGTGCATCCTGTCAGCACACCACATGGGGCTCAGTCACGGACACAACTTGGACATGGCCACACGCTTCGCCAGATGGGTTTTCTGGCTTTGAAGGCTCGCAGCGAAACTCGGATGTGATGAGTGGCATCAGCCAGGGAAGACAACTATTGGTCTCTCCTTCTCGGGAGCAAGAGAGGAAGAAGGAAACCGCAGCCTCTGAGAAGAAAGTAGCTCTGGGGCTGATGGTCTGCACAAAACGCGGCTGAGACCAGAACTAGCGGGTGCCCGGCTCTCCGGGTTCAGGCAGAGGGAGGACCCTGACATGAGGAGGGCACTCTGCAGGGTACCTCGAGGCATGAGGGAGCATGACGATGTACTGGGGGAAACACAGCCAGTACCACAGACTTGTGTATAGAACCACTAATGTGACTCTAGTTTGCTGTGGATATTATTTAAGAAGCCAGCCCTGAAAGCTGGCAGGCTGCCCTCCCCCACCGCCAGGCACCCTGGTGCTATTCACCATCTGTGTCTCATCCTGGCACTTCTGCCGCACGTCGCTCAGCATGTCTCGGAGCTTGGCTTTCTGCTGGTCCATCTCATCCAGGCGGTCCTGAGCATCCTGCTTCTGGGCCTCCAGCTCCTGCAGACTGCTCGTCTCCCGGTCCAGGTCATTCTGCAGTTCCTAGAAAGGGCCGGGGGAGTGTTAGGGTGTGGGGGGGGGGCTCCATAGGGGTGTTTATCACAGGTGGGCCAGGTGCTCTGCTCACACTGAACCGCGTTCATGGGCCAGGTCTGCTGCCACCATGAGGGCACTGTATGGCAGGAGGGGACCTATGACCCTCAGCTCCTCAAACCTCCCCAGCGTGACACCAAAGCCAGTTCAGGAGGCTGGAGACGCCACATCCCGAGAGCAGCCTGGACACAGATGGAACACAGAGCACGTAGGACAGCACACCCGGCACCGCCCCAAGTCTCGGGTGAAGGCTGATTGGGAAGTTCCAGACAGCCACAGCAGACAGCGATGGGTAAGAGGGTGCCCCACTTCTGAAAGGCCTCCCAACCACGTGGGTGTGCTGCCACCTTTCACACAAACAGGGAGCAGAGACCACAGGTGAGCGCTCTGACAAGCCGGGGGCAGCGCGTGGAGGATAGGCTGGGGCCACAGAGAAGACCCTGCCTGGGGGAGCCCCAGAGGCCCGGGAGAGAGGAATGGGGTTGAGGGGAAGAGGGAAGAGGACTGCTGGTGGCTCCAGCGCTGGAAGACGAGTGCCCGCCCCCTGCCCAGGGTGGAGAACACAGAGGCTGCAATCGTGCGCTGGTGCAGACCAGGACGGTGAAGATGGGGCAGGGCAGGGCAGCGCTTCCTTCTCCGGAGTCAGTGCTGATTAGACGGAGCTCACGGGCAGAGGGGCTTGGGGAGGCTATTGGCACAGCTCCCAGGTGGCCTGGTTGTGGACAGCAGGGCACAGCCACCTTGGGAGATGAGGAAAAACCACCTCTGTGGTGTTGGGGGCCCACCTGGCCGGCCTGAAACGCCTGACTCTGACCCAGCCGCCAGGAGGCCACTGGCAGGTATGGCTTGACCTCGCCTCAGCACCCACGGGAGTCTTCACCTTCCTTAAAAAGACAAGACTGGGGGAGGAAATGAGGAGCTGATATCAAGGGCTCAAGTAGAAAGAAAATGCTTTGAAAACGATGATGGCAACATACGTACAAATGCGCTTGACACAATGGATGAATGTATGGATTGTGATAAGAGATGTAAGAGACCCCAATAAAAGTATTTAATGAAAAAAAAATTTTAAAGACAACAAGACACACAGGTATTGTGCTCTGTTCACAGGCTGGGGGGAATGGGATTCGGGTAGTGGCAGGGAGGAGGTAGGTTTCCTGATGGGTCCCCCACAGACCTCGGCCGACCACAGAACCAGGAGAAAAGAACGTGTGCACAAATATTCACAGCTGCCAAAAGGTGGACAGCATGCAACGTTAATCAGCAGACACAGTGTGGTCCATCCATCCCATGCACTATCGCTCCGTCAAAGGAGAAAGCAAGTTCCCGTGCCTGCTAGACACGGAGGAACCTCAAACACAGAGGGCTGAGTGAAAGGCCGCTAGGAAGACCTGCTCTGTGACTACATTTCTAGGCGGAATGTGGCTGTTGGGAGGTGCCGTCAAGTCAGGGCAACTCATAGCGACCCTGCCCAGTCAAACACCAGGGACTGGTCTCTCCTGATAACGTGTGCAAAGCCCTTGAGATGAAGTCTGGCCATCCGGGACTCCGGGAAGCGTCCTGGCGGACTTGTGTGTTCCTTTGGCAGTCCACGGTGCTTTCAATCTCTGCTAGCAGCACAATGCAAATGCTGTGTTCCTCCTTTTACAATGTCCAGCCTTCTCGTGCATATAAGGTGACTAAAAACATCATGGCTTGGGTCAGGCGTAGGTCGGTCCTCAAAGTAAAGTCCCTGCTCTTCAACCCTTGTAAGAAAGGTCTTCTGCAGGCTGACCAATGTAATGTGTTCTCTGAGTACTGACTGGATCCAAGCAACATGAAAGCCAAGGCAACGTCAATCTTTTCTCCGTCGATCGTGATGCAACTAGTGGTCCCGTGGTGTGGATTGGGGTCTTTAGTTGAGCCATCATCCATCCTGAAGGCTGCCATCCTCCACCCTCACCAGCCAGTCCTTCGAGTCCTCCTCACTGTCAGCGAGCCAGTGTAATCCAGATGCCAAGTTCCTCTGCATGTGACCCAGCCTCTCTGGTTACCTGCTCAGCATACAGAGTGAAGTCTGGGGAGAGGATGCAATTCTGACGCAACTGTCCTGACTGTGAACCACGCAGTCTTCCTTTGTTCTGTCTGCACAACTGCCCCTTGATTCACACACCGGTTCCAAATGAGCACAGGGAACGGCTCGGCGTTCCCCTTCCTCTCAAGCCTACCCACCAGTTTGATATGACCCACACCGTTGAATGCCGGGGCACAGCCAGCGAAATACAAGTCTCTTTCTAGGATTCTCTGCTTCCGTCAAGCTCCGTCCGCGTCAGTGACAGCACGCCTCGTTCCTCGTGATCGTGTCACGGGCAGATTGCACTGTCAGACAGGTCTTCAAACACCCCTTTTAAGGAGGAGCGCACCGCCATTCCTCTGGGGCCTGTCATTCCCGGGATAGCGCACCATACGATTCTGACTCCAGTACTGGTCAATACCAGTCCATTGCAGCTCGATCACACATGCCAGTCCCTTGGCAGCCACCAGGCTTTCTACAGTCACTCCTACATGCCTAGCTCCTATTGTGAATTCACATTGGCAGCGGTTTGGTCTCATGTTGAGTTGGGCTCCATCGGCAAATGCAGGTCTTGAAGGTCTGACTCATCCCCCGCACGGTGGCTGATGCTGCTTTACGGCACGCTCGTCCTCAGTCTTGTTTTCAGTGTCTCTGATCTGAGGGGCTCAAGCTGGGCACTGCTTCCAACAGCATTCTACTGCTATTCCTGGGCTTTCCAGTACTGACGATGCGCCCATGCTCTCTCCGTGAGGTTTCAGTACTGACGATGCGCCCATGCTCTCTCCGTGAGGTTCCAGTACTGACGATGCGTCCATGCTCTCTCCGTGAGGTTTCAGTACTGACGATGCGTCCATGCTCTCTCCGTGAGGTT